AGCAACTAATTATAATGATTGTTGGTTACCGTGTACATGGTCATTTGAACATAAAAATGATTCCAATTCAACAAAAACAATCCTAGAAAGTAATCCTTGGTAGCTGAATCTATATTTGAACCAAGGTAGTGCCAACCCCAAAAAAATTTAAACATCAATATTGATAAATGTTTTTGGACAAATAGAATAGAAACAATAAGTCTATTCATTTCATAGAAGATATTGGCAAAGTTGCACACTTAAATAGTTCTATGAATACCCAGTATTGTCTCAATTACACTGTAATCTGTAAGTGTTAGAACAAAGGAAAACAACAAACATTCGAATACAGTCTGAAGCTGCATGTGCATTAGATGCTTACATAATTTAATTTTGGATGTAACGCGTCTTCTGATTGGCTGACGTTGTTTTGTTTATCAGCTTATAGACATAATTTTGTCATGTGACCGTGACGTCATCAACGTTTTTTCATGGTTTACTCAGGTTTAAAATTGAATTTAGAATTAAATTATAAGAAATGACTGTAATATTTTTTCTGTCTATTCGAAATAACATAAAAAATGTGGTGCACACTTTAAAATAACCCGCTACGCGGGTTATTCAGTGTGCACCACATTTTTTATGTTATTTCTTCATAGGCAGAAAAAATATTACAGTCATTCCTTAAAGAACAAACAAACAAAGCAAATTTTGAGAATTCCTATCCACTAGATTTCTTTTTATGGTAGTTGAATTGCTGTCTCTTTTTTGGTGTATTCTGCACATCTTTTAGTCATTTTTTTTTTAATGACAACCAATTCAAGTTGCTTAATTTATTGGCTAAGGAAAGCTTTCCATACAATAAACAAGGTCATACACGGACGTCGGTGACAAAAAAAAAAAACAACAATACATTGTGTAATTATAACCATCATCTATTTTTGTACATTCAATCAAAATGGAAATAACTCGTAGATTGGTACGAGTTAGCTTGTGCGTAATAAACAACAAAGGTTTTTCACTACCTTTTTATAGAATACACACCTGTTGTTCACCGTTTTTCGATTCGTTTGATATATTGAGAAACAAAATAACATTGAACAAGAATTTAATGAATATGTGTCATGGATTACAAAAATGTTTTAAAGTAAATAAATAATATAAAAAAAGTTTAACCAGATGCCGCATTCACTCTTCTTATTCCTCATACTGTCAGAACATTCGAAACAAATAAAGGTATACAAAGTTTTGTAAACAGTAAAATTGTAACTTCATTTGGCCGTCATCATTGTAACGAATTCTGAAATACAAAATGAGTATTTAATTAATATTAATTACTATTTAGTAGTTAAAAAAATGCAAATGTATACCCTGCGGGGCTGAATGCATATGAACAATAAAAATATATACACATTGCAAACAATTATAAAATATTTAAAACTATTATATTTATAACGGTAGTACAAAAATGTATATTATTATTTATGCAGGTGTGGGTCCCCACTCTCCGCAGTGCAAATGACTGTTAGATGAATAATACACCGAATAAAAAATATTTTTTACTATTATCTGAAGATCTACCAGTGCATCATAAACTGTCTGTATTGGGTCTGTTCGAGAGTCGTATCCATGTAAGACTTTAGTCTCAGTTAGAGATATACTATATAGATTTTAAATTGAGAAACAAATCCAGTTACCATTGTCATATTTGATCATTATGAAATCGTTTCTATCAATTCGAAATTGAAAAATAAGAGATTTGGAGCGGATGTACATGCGGTATAAATATGTCTAGTCCGACGAAATAACTTATTCATCATAGGAACATCGCATTCTTTGCCTTTCATCGTTTTAAAAATTGCTGGATGGACTTCAAATTTAATGACGAACTAAACAAGAAAATTCTTACGACAAGATCATAGTAACACTTTACGGCAATATCGAGGCGGCCCCTGGCGTTGATTATTTTCGTTTAATATGCGTTTTGAAAAGAAACATGCTGAAGTTATACATGCTCTATTGTTCGTTACCCCACAAAGGCTAAGATATGTTAGCTAATGGAATAAAATACCTGAAATAATCAACTAAGACCTACCACAATTGTATAATTGGCATGTGTTACATGTAATCAGTTTACAAGGAAAATACAAGTACTGCGTATATTTAAAATTGTCTTCTTGTCATAGTTCCCTTTTTAATCTTAATTTTTTGATGATCGTGATTTGTTAATTATATTTGCTATTACTAATGACTGACACTTTGGGTGGGACATCATAGTATTTGTTTACTCATACAAGAGTTTTGTTTATGAAGCCTTGAGTTTACATCATTTAGGAATGCAGTTGAAGCACCACCTTATTGTTAGCAATTAAGCTATTTTTGATATTCTGTCGCATTGCGCCAATCACTCGTCGTAACTCGGCATTTTCCGTTCCATGATTTGTTAAAAAAAAACCGTGTGTTTTGCCGATTTTGTTTATTTGTGTTCTAATAATAGAAAATGTCATATTGCATCAAAGAATTTAGTACTATGTCGCAATGCGGACTGCATTCCTCTAATAACAATAATTAGCATACAGACAACATATTAGATAAAAGATGCCAGCATTTATTAAGACGATGTTATGTTTGGCACGTATGGACGGTACCTTTAATTAAGATAGACTAGTAAAGTGATGAATAATTGCTATTCACATAATTGTATCCACATAATAGCCTCTTTCGTTTTTGAAGGTGCAGTTATATCATCCAGTCTAATACCAATCCAAGAGATCACTTCAAAACGTGATTTTTCTTTCACGGATTTATAACTAAACGAGTAATTAAAGTAAATTAATATTAGATATGCTTAATACAGGCAACAGGTTGATCTTCGTGTAATTTTTACAATAATATTGCACAACTAAGGAAACAGTAGTTTACCGATGTTCAAGTCTAGTAAATTCATTTTGAATATTCAAATCACTGAAAAAAATTAGTAACAAAAATACCGAACAGGTAAATTAAAAAAGGGAGAAGTCCATAAAACCTGACGAAATCAAACGCTCGACTTTATTAACCAATTAACGGAGCGAATGGAAAACAACTGTCATATTCTTGACTTGGAAGAGGCATTTTCGAAGAAAACAACTCAGGCAATCGAAGGAACTCCAAAACCGGTACGTACGAACTATTATGAATAAATAAAGGCAACAGTAGTATACCGCTATTCGAAATTCGTAAATCGATTGAGAGAAAAACAAATCCGGGTTACAAACTAAAACTGAGGGAAACACGTCAAATATAAGAGGAGAACAACGACACAACCCACAGAGCATCTCAAAACAAAATTGTATACATATTATAAAAGCGAATCAGTTGTTGACATAGGTATAACATTTGAACATACCTGCTTTTTCATCACATGTATATAACTCACTAAAATTTTGCTTCTCTACGTTTTTAAAGTAGGCCATTCCAATTATCTACCAATTATGTTTTTGGGATGAAGCAATATGTATTTTTGTACGTACTTGTTAAATTTCCAGCAAAGTAAGAAGTTTGTGTCTAATAGCTTTACAAATTGAATCAAGATAATTCCCCTATTGATAAAAGAATCAATTTGCATGATCGTTTCTTTTCTGTTGACGATTGAATTTGTGTTAACGATGCCTATAGCTTAGACGTAATAAATAACCAGTAACACGTCCATTAACTTATTATCATGCTTTTATTAAGTAACACGAAGAATTCGGTTAATACTGAATTATTACGCTAATACTGTTCTAAATGAACTCGGTGGAGATTCTTCAAAGTAACCGGAGACAATAGAAAGTCAAGACGGACGACACAATCAATCATACTATTATAAGGCACTATTTAAATCTCAATATTCAATGTAAAGTTTTGTACTTTTTGTGTGATATAGTAACATGAAATCTATATATGAAAAGAAAAAAATAGTCATTTTAATTAAGATTTTCAAATATGAAATTAAAGTTAGCCTCTTTGTATGTTCAAATGAAACAACTTTACAAATTATGAGTTAAACAGCATTTTGTAGGGTAGCGGGGGGGGGGGGGTAGAAATTGTAATTTCGCATCTATTCATGATCATCACGATTGTTTTCAAACTATATGATGAGAAATAAAATATTAACAGATAGATTTCCTGTAGCTCATATTTTTGGTCAATCGTAGTAAACGATGTTATTGAACAATCGGTTCTTACTGTGACATAAAAACATAAGGAATCTGCGGGAAGGTGCACGAATTTGAAAGTCGTCAATATTAACTTTTATTTCACATAATACGGCAATCATGTCAATTGAAAAGACGATACTAGTAAGTCGTATCTTCCACAGTCATAGATATCTAAAATGTTTTGGATGGTCTTTTGCTTGTAAACATGGTAATAACTTTAAATGTTTCTGATTTTACGATTTTAATTTTGTATCGTCCAGTAATCTTGAAAAAGCTTCACAGATGAAAGTTCTTTTGCGTTGCTAATTAGGTATATCAGGTTTGTACGGTTGTGTTTTTTTTTGTTCCTGGAACTTCTGAAAGATTGCACTTTGTTTGTGGTCAGTGATGATTTAGTTTCCAATTTGATAGATATATTTCAGTGAAAGAAAATTGTGTAACAACCATTATTTTGGAGATGTGTTATGCTTGTCAATGAGGCAACTATCCACAAAACAGTGATGTGGATGTAAGAAACTACGGGTCACTGTACCGCCTTCAACAATGAACAAAACCTATACGGTGTTGAAAGCTATAAAATGCCACAACATGACAAAATGTTTAACCGTTCTAATGAGAAAAACTCATGATTAAATATAACAAGTTTTCGATCCAAACGAGTGTTCACCGGAATCTTTAGGATAAATGATGACTTTGTTGCGAAAGTTTATCAACTGAAGAAAAGTGTATCCTTTAAAAGTAGTATATCTGGTGTCCATTTGCTTGTCTACTGATTAATTTTAATAGATTTCCACTGAAAAGATAAGAATATATATTCGCCCTCGTCTTCAAGCAAACAAATCAATATATTTTATTTTATTTTGATCATAAATTGATAAATTATATCTTTTTTGTTTACAAAAGTACAATGTAGTATAAAAATTGTTAAACACTTTCACTTTTTAAGTGAAAACAAGTGAGCGCTTTCATATGTCTAAAGAGAACGCATAGATATGTGTATTGGTATCTATAAAAAGTTTTTTGAATTATGAAAAGTACAATATCAAACACCAAGTACAGTCTTGGAATTAATGCATGGCTTGTACAGCAATTCAGTTAGTCAAACATGCGCAAAGCAAACAATACGTGCACGTCTTCATTAATAGTCAGAGACTTGAAATGACATGGCACCAAACAGGAGGTGACGTCACAAGGTCACAAGGCGTACACAGGGAGATGGAATGGTAAAGAAGCATGTTGGTAGGCGAAGGTCTTCATCTTTTTGTCTTTCGAGAAAGAATTGTTCTTGCATATTCCATAAAATCTGAAAGTAAACTGAAAAGTTTCAGCCTACTTTTATAATAATTAAAACAACGAAAGACATCAGAAATAAAGAAAACTTTTAAAACACTCAATTTAAATAAAAGTATTTCAAAAACATTCAATTTATTCAAAAGAATGATAGCATACATGATATAAAAGTATAAATAAATTTGAACTTATATTCATTCTCTATATCGCGACGTGCTGATTTTTATACTTGTAGTTTAAAAATTTTGCTCTTACATATCCATACAAATAAATGACGTAACTGTTTATCGATTTTCCAAACTCGTTAATCCTATTGGAATATAGTCTTTTTTAAGCAGAGAAGAAACCAAGGGGCAATAAAAACATGAGCCATTTGGTTAAACCAGGATATATCAAAATATTAATAATAAGTCGAAACTCATAGAACAACAATAATAGGAAATCAATTGAATATTTTAGTTTCTTTTTATGACGAACCTTGAAAAAAATGCGGTATAATGTCACCTGTTAAAAGGTATTTCAACCTTAAACGCATCTAAGATAATTGTCCCTTATCTTTTGAATGCAAGACCATGTCAAACCATTTAAAGCATCACACTAAAAATTAAGTTTTCATACAAATGCAAATTACTTGAAAGCATTCTTGTGTTTAATTATGCAAAAAGCATTCAATAGCTGTTTAAAAACAATTATAGATAAATTGTTTTTAAATCTAAAATTGTTTTATTCGAAAAAATGGAAAAGCTAAAATTTCAGTGACATATCTGAAATATTTGGCTGTAAAACTTTTCATTGAAGCAGTTTCATAGGGATTCTGTTCTGGTAACACTGACGACATTAAATTTTGCGTCACTAATATGAGACTTGATTGTTAAATGAATGAGTATTAAAAAACAAACAGAACATGTTTTCTATAGCGCATATATTTTAAATTACTGAATGCATCAGAAAGCCTTAATCTTGAAAACAACATGTGTTACCATCCTCCGGGATTTTTTTTCAAATTGTCAAGTTAAAGAAATGTTTTAAGTGAAGTTCCCTATAAAATAATTATGAATCAAAATGGAGACGAGCCAGGTAGCACCTTCATTCCGTCATAAAAGCAAGTGTTTGAAATAATTGTTTACTGATTAATCAACTCTGGAAAGGGTTTTTTTTAATTCTGGTTATCAATTAAGTAAACCTTGCATATGCAAAGAATGCTTTCCGATGTTAGTGGTAGAAAAATCGATGATTTCATGCAATTAAAGCAGTATTAGATTGACATGCATTTTCACAGCGGGAAATGAAGCTAAGGGAGATAATATATAGCCACCATTATGTTAAATAGGAATTCGAAATATACCTTCATAGTTAACTAATCCATCACCATCCAAATCTGCTTCTTTTATCATTTCATCTACTTCTTCGTCCGTTAATTTTTCACCTAAATTTGTCATAACATGCCTTAATTCTGCCGCACTTATAAATCCATTCCCATCCTTATCGAACACTCTGAATGCCTCCCGAAGTTCTTCTTCACTATCAGTGTCTTTCATTTTCCTTGCCATCATAAGCAAAAATTCTTCAAAATCGATTGTTCCATTACCTGAAGTTAGGAAATAGATTGCAAGAAGATTATTCTCCTCTTCTCAGTAAATATTTCTTTATATAAACACAAGTTATCTTTACAATCACAACCAAAACATTGACAACCCAACAAGGCATACAACAACCAAGGAAAAGAAAACGGAGAATAGATAATTCAATAAAATAACCAGAAAAGAATTTCGTATTTACGTTCCTAAAAAAAATATAAAGTCGTGTATCAAGTAATATGAGGTCTGATACGATATGACAGTGCTCGTTTCCCAGACCTTTGACCTCAAAGCAAAATGTTGTAAACGCAGTTATCTCTGCTGACCTTTACTGACTGGGAGAAAGAAGATCATGAAAACGTCTGGACCATTACAACTCCCTCTAACCCTTATCTCCTAAAATATGAAAAATAATTCAACCAGTATAATCAGCTTATTTAGACGGTATGGTTCATCTCGATTTGAAGCTAGTGGTCTCAAAATAATGTCTGTTCTTTTCATGCTTCTCAGTTAAGAAATATAAGTACTTAATTTTCTCCTTTTTATTGAGTTAATTGACTCTGGTACCTAAAGTTGAATTAAGATATTAATATTGTTTCATGTATTTTGAAATTCATTGATTTTCTTTTTGTGCCCCCTGCAGATCTCTGTCTTTATCTTTAACCAATCAAAACCTCGCTCTTCCCTATCCGTAGTAACTTCTTTACAGTCATAAAATAAATACCGCATTACAAAACGTTTATAGGTATGAAATAAAGAGAGGAGATGTGGTATGATTGATAATGAGACAAGTATCCCATAGAGTCCAAATAAAGCAGATTCAAACAACTATAGGCCATCAACAATGAGCAAGACATACATAAGACAGTTAAAACAATCTTTAAAGTGGAAACCGTTTTTGCTTATCATGTGTATATCCACGGTAAACCATTGAGTACACTTTTTAAGTGATTGTCTGTATGTAAAACTACAGTGAAGTTGATAGAAATGAGATGCGGAAGATACAAAAGGGAATCTCAAACTCATAAGTCGAAAACGAATAAAAAATGGCAGGGCAAAAAACAAAAAACGACCAAAAATAGTATTCAAACACAACAGAAAAATCTAAAGACTGAGCACCACGAACCCCACCGAAAACGGGTTAAACACGTGTGTTCCGGGAGATTAAGCAGATCCTGCTCTACATCTGGCACGTGTCAAGTCTATGAGACAAAACAAAATATTATACAAAAAATGGTCAAAACTGTCGCTTGCCCCATTTGGTAAAAAAACTATTATAAAGTCTTTGATTATATCAAAATTGAATCATCTGTTCCTATCCATCCCTAGTCCAGATGACAATGTACTACGTCAATTCAATAATAAAATGTATGCATTTGTTTGGGATGGTAAACCTGACAAGGTAAATCGGGAGCTTTTGTGTCAAGAATACTGCCGAGGGGGTTTAAAAATCATTAATTTGAGAAATTTTATATAAGTGCTAAAATTGAATTGGGTTAGAAGATTATTTAATTCAAATTCAAAGTGGATAACATTATATAAATAACACATAGCTGAGAGGGTGATAGAGCAGATTGTTACCCTGAGAAAACATTGTCAACTGAGGCGAAGCCAAGGTTGACAATGTCTTTTCGAGGGGTAACAATCTGCTCTATCACCCTCTCAGGTATATTTTATTTAATTTATTATACTGAATGTTCTGTTATTACTGTCTATTGAGTTTCAAATTAAACGAAATACACTATGACGTCTTGTACATAACAACCATCCGCATTCAATAAAGCGCACATTTGACCAAGCGTCTCCGTGAAGGGTAATAGAGTAAATTGTCTCCCTCGTATCAAACCAATCAAAGTCTGGCATTTTGACATGAAGTATAATAATATTTACTGCTACACTACATAAAATTTAACAGAGTGGGCTTATTTTGGAACAACTAAAAAATTAGATAAGCAATTTTGGAAAGAATTTTTTTATGCCTGGATAAATATGTCAAGACATCCTTGTTATTTTGAGAAAGTAATCCCTTCGTCTATATGGAATAATGAGAACATTAAAATTGATGAGTCTGTGTTTATTATAGAAATTGGGCACAAAATAGGGTATGGACTGTAAATAACCTTTAAGATGAGCAAGGAAATATATTATCTTATCATAATTTTGAAAGGCTATAGACCGTACTGTGACCTATAATGGTTTACTTTTATAAATTTTGACTTGGATGGAGAGTTGTCTCATTGGCACTCATACCACATCTTCTTATATCTATATATATAATGCTATATAATTTTAAACCCACATTTTTACAATTTTATGGGATTAAAATAGCATTAAAAAAACGGTTACAATCTAAAGGAATCAACACTGAAAAGGATAAAACAAGCTGTTTTTACCTTTTAATATTAACATTTTCTTCAAGTCAGGAGCGAAAATCGGAGATTATATTAAATAAAGTTGTTGGAGATTGGAAAAACAAATACATAATTGTTTCTAAGTTTTCAAAAAATACCAAGCTCTGTTGGTTTAAATACTTTACTTTTAAAAATGAACCTTGTACAGTGTAATTTATGTACATTTTGCAAGGAAGAACCAGACACTGTAGAACACTTACTGTGGGGCTGTCATATTGTAGCAGACATCTGGCACCATCTGAATGCTTGGATTTTTGAAGCAACACATATTGAAATTCCACTAAATGTGGATAGATGTCATTTTTGGCTTCTATGAAAACTATAAACTAAATTTTATAAAGAATAAAGTCATTTTACTAGCAAATTACTTCATCTACAGATCAAAGATGCAAGATGAAAAACCTCACATAGAGGGACTTAAAAATTAAATCATAGAAAATTCAACTTTAGAAAAGCATATTTCCACAAAAATATGAGTGTGAAAGAATATAATATGTACTGGAACCCCTGGTTTAAAGTCACTGATTAGATTTAACAATAAATTATTAATGTATAAATGTGCTTGTACTGTAATTACAATTATCTTTATATTAGTGAAAATGTTATACTTCGTCCATATATTTATTCTGTTATATCGTACGGTATTATTATTTTTTTCATTTTCCTTTCATTTGCTTGAATATGCTTATTTATCTCGCTTGCTTAATTATATTATATTAGATGAATATATGTAAATGCCTGTCAATGTATGAAGAAAAAAAAAACAAAAATTAAAAAAAAAACAAAAAACAAAATCTTCTGAAATCAATTGTGCAGTAATGATTTGACTCTGTTTTGTGTGTCGTTACTCTTGCTTTCTTTTATGATAAAATGAGTTTAAAAAATTCATTATCAGAAAATATATCAAATGAAATTATCTTCTATGAAAAATGACATAAATACAGGACAAATCATAAAGTTTTTAAGGAAAATAATACAGATTTTTATCTTAAGGTCGTGGTTGTTTTTTTCTAGAGAAACCTCTTTGCATCTAAAGTACTATTAACATAATACTTGATTATTACATTTTTTTTTCATGTTTCGGTACTTCAGTGAACTGTCATTATTATTTACGTCTTTTCACAACACAGCGGCCATTAATTGTTGAAAAGTTTCATGCAGCACTCCATTCCAAACACCTCAAATGCATCAGAAAGACTAAACTGCTATAGACAATTAACTGCTAGAGCTATTATTTCACTCTCATACAGCGATTCTCACTTACCAATTCCACAACAGTTTATCTGCATTGCTCCATAAAATGCTACAGCTTATAACAAAGAGGTTATAAATTAGTGCAAGACATATGGTCCGCTGTGTTGTTTTTTATGTTTATATAACTTGACGACTCCCTCAGACAAAGATGACATATTTCTTTTTATGTCCCTTCTGGTCCTACAGCTCCTAACGTTTCTACGTAATAATTCATCAAAGATGTATTTATACAACCCCGGATTTTATTTATACAACCCCGGATTTTATTTATACATCCCCGGATTTTATTTATACAACCCCGGATTTTATTTATACAACCCCGGATTTTTTATACAACCCCGGATTTTATTTATACATCCCCGGATTTTATTTATACATCCCCGGATTTTATTTATACAACCCCGGATTTTAAATGTTTTGGTTTGAGCGTTCCTGATGAAGGTAATTCCAGAAAATATCTTCGGACGCACAAAATATATAAAGCTCCAGCCCTGGGCGGATTCAGGCGGGGGCGTGGAGGGCGTGCGCCCCCTAAAATTTGCAAAGCATGGGTTATCCTCAGCTTAATAAAGAATATTTCGATTCTTTTACCTAAAAAAAAATTTCGCCTCGCTCCGATCGGCGAAAATTTAAGTTTGCGCCCCCCCCCCCCCCCCCCCTAAACCTAAAATCCTGGATCCGCCCCTGGCGTCAGATTAATTTGAATCTATAAATGCTTGTATAAAGTATGCAACAAACAATTGAATAATTGTTGTGCTGTTATATATTAATTTATTTTGAAAACTTTCTTTTTGCAATTTGTTAATTTTTTTGATGCCATCCTATATTGGATTATCACTAGAAATAAAACTATTGCAATACAACCTGGCTTGAAATTACACCTTAATGACGGATGTAATTTTTAATAAAGTATTATCATTTCGATTTCTATAGTATTTATACATAAGGGATCGACCATTGTATTGTCGTGGTGGCAGGAGTGGGAAGGGTGAAAATATTAAGAAAATAAATATCCTGGACTGGTAAAAGCTGAAATTATAATCTTGCCCAGGACTTGATGAAAAATAAAAGTGAAAATACCCCCCGGTCAAGCAACAGGTTGAAATGAATTATTCTTCCAAAATAAAAAATTCTTGACGTATAGCTTTTGCATACATTGATATACATATACATAGCGAACACATGATTATAAGATTTTTTAATATGGTCGCTGTCTTTCTCATATTTCACAAATGTATTCAAATCAGAACGAAGGAGTGTCTGTCTAGACATTAGTTTTTGGCTATAGTTGTATAACATGTAAACACAATACGCAGATGATGCCGAGAGTATAATGCTGCTCGACAAAAGGACGCACGAAATGTATAAATGTGTGTATTTTCATTGAAAAGGTAAAGTTGCGATGACCTTTTGATGTGACCTACATATTTTAGAGGTGCAATGCCAAATCAAATTTCACATCAAAGAATTGCAGATTTTTTTGAAACGTAACTGTTCTTGTTTTTTAAGGTTTTTGTCATTCCGACCCTCTTCTCTCTAAAGTATAGCATAAAATGTTTACTACATGGTCGTGTAGCTAACTATATATAGTTAAGGATTCAACGTCTTTATGTTAAAGGGAAAATGAGAAAATGCGATTAAAAGCTTACGGATGCAAATATCGTATAGATAACTAAAATAGAAATTAAAAACTCCAACAAAGTTCAAGACCGCTATACATCAACTTATATAAAAAAAAAACACTCATAACAGAAACCAGGCTTAAAATTAACACAAGAGACTGCCAAGAATTAAGAAGTATACATAGAGACATATTGAAGAAATGATGGAGGCAATTATTTATTTGAAACACTACAATAACCCATTAATTAGGAATTTTAAATTGAAAAATTAATTCTTCACCTCAACAAAATTTTCTTTAGATAAATTAAAACTGATTAATATTCTCTTTTTGTTTGTTTCAATCCAAACTAAATGACGTTTGCATTCAGATGTGTGGTAATCTAACGCAAACAAATGGACAGATATCTTTCAAGGATAACATACGTCCTTAGCAATAGAAAAAAATGTCTATAAAATAATGTCACGCTCTAAATCTCTCTAGTCTAGAAAATTGTGAAGAAATTTTACACAGACTCAAAAATTTAAGCACAGGGTATTTTTTAAAGGTTTTACTAAAGACAATCTCTAACAAGGTCTGTGTTGATCGGAACAGGCAAATAGGATGAAATTCATAACAGCTTGTATATGCGTACCTAGTATGTTGTTATTATTATTACCGAACAATTTATATTTATCGTGTTAAACTATGTGGCTGGGTTGAAATGTTTTTTAATCCCTTAAAGTCGACCAGATAAATAACAAAGTTACATAGTAAAACATACAAGAAAAATCAGTTCAGAAAAACACGTAACTTTCCATATTTAACGCGATGAAAATATCTATTTATACATATAAAGCTACAATTAGTTCCCATTGGAATACCGACTGTCACTTGGAATATCAATCCACTAAAATTATGTTGCCGATAAAAAAGATGTTACTATACTCACTCAATTATCTGATTGTCTATCATCACCTTTTACTTGAGATTTGAGGCTTAGTTATTGAGAGAAAAAATGTGGACATAAAAGTTTAAGTTCTGCACTCCAGAAATCTTTGCAGTCGTTTAAATATCTTAGTATTTTAACAATGTGTCAGGAATCATTGAAAAATGTTCTCTTTATAAGAAAATTCATATTAAAGAAAATAAATGATGGAACGATTTTAATTTGATACTGAGTTAATCAGTCGAGTTGTCAATAACATGCAGAAAACGCAAAGCAATTAATATGAAACCGCTTGAGAAACAGTATTTTACTCTTCATACTAAAAATGCTATTGTTTATTTAGAAAGAAAATAAACCTGTTTTAAAAAAGTATGGCGTATTTTATGGAAAGTAACAGAAATGAATACGATCGTTCATTGTGAGAAATATGGCATTTCTAATTCTAGTATATTGTATACCCCTAGTTTACTACGGAACATCTTTGTTGAAATAAATGATACTGTTATTTCGCGGCATTTTCATCTGTAGCCATGCTTTTAGGGCTGTTTCTAAGACCGACTAACAAAATATTTAACCAAGGCTATCTTAAGCAAGAGCACAGACCGTGCATTTATAGTTTTTTTTCTCTATATTTCAAGAAGGAACTTACCGTCAGCATCAACTTCGTTAATCATATCTTGAAGTTCCGCTTCCGTTGGATTTTGACCTAAAGAGCGCATAACTGTACCCAGTTCACTTGTCGTGATGGTTCCATCGCCATCTTTGTCAAATAATGAGAATGCTTCTTTAAATTCTGCGAAAAAAACATTTTTTAAAAGAATATATACAATAAAACGAAACAGAAAAACATGGTCAGTAAGATAATCGTCGATTCTACATTTTCTGTTTGTTTGCGTTATTTTATCTATATCATTTTTGTTGATATACCCTCATTTTCCAGTGGAAGTCAAAATTGCCAGACCTTCATCCCGGACGACCCCCATTACAGGACATACCTTTTGTTTTTATTGTTGATTTGTTCCAGTTCTAAACATGCATGAAATATTTTCCACTGGACGTTAAGAAACCAATAATCAATCATCTATATATTTTCAATTTTACTTTTGCAGGCGATTAGTGATGTCTATTTGAGTGTCACGCAAAAAGACTTTTTGTAAGAGCCTCGCTTTGATGTATGACAATATTCAGCACTGTAGAAATGGTAAAGACGGATGTAATTAATGCAATTTTGACAAGAATTTCCTTCATCTTTTCATTTGTATGCTTTTTATCTAATTATTATGTTTTAACTACAAATGCATTTCCTGACAGGCAACAAGTTGAGGGAAACATAAACGGGATAAAAAAAATTGTTTAAAAAAGATTTATTTTTGTTAGCACTAATTATTAGACTATTTGGAATACTTAAATTAAATTTTCCTTCCAGAAATGTGTTGGAAACATGTTAATGCTAGTAATTTGATCCAGAACAACATTTAGAAGATGCTTGTTAAATATATATCTAGAATTTCTTTAAAGGTAACAATTAGGAAACGTTCATCTTGATCTCAATGTCTTTTCTGATAAGTTCTAACAAAAACATCTTTTGGTTGCAATTACAGTCACACCTTTTTTAGGCAAACACCTGTCTTGTCCGGTTGCCCTTTTCTTGACCTGATGCAGAAATACCTATACATTTTGAACCTCATTTCAAAGGTCAACTGTCTTGCAAGGTCAGTTTAATTTGGTTCAAATGGTGACCTTTATATTCAGGTTTGACTGTACCTTCAAAAATGAGGATGGTGCAAGTATGAATCTGTCTAGCATGTCCCGTTTATGATTAGATAATCAAAAAATGAAAATATATTCAAATAATCAGATAATCTACAATCAGACATAAACAGTCCCTAGTCAGAACTTATATTGTTACGCCATTTCAATCTTTGAACAGCCCGTGATCATGATAGTGATGTAGTCGCTTCATGTCCAATTATTTGGGCGTTTATTATTTCAAAAGACTTTTTGTAATCTTATGAACTTGTGTTGTAAGAACTTCTATGTATTTCAAAGTTTTCCGGAGTGTATTTTAACATTGTTCATTTTGTAAATATTACGGGAATATATGATAAATATGAATAAAAAGATTGATTGATTATTCGATGCTTAACGTCCAGTGGCAAATATTTCATGTATGTGCAGGACGAGAGAAAGTTAACAATAAATACAATAGGTAGGTCCTGTAAAAGAGACCGTCCGGGATGAAGATCGGGACATCTGAACTACCACGAGAAAATGAGGGTATATTGGGTAGGGACAGAAATTTAGCCTTGCAACAAGCCACCTATGGACCCTTCAAAGAGTTGTTGCAAGGGTTCTTAACTTGCAATGAGCGTGGCACTCTCTTTACATGAATAAAAAGTGATGTTGGGTATACGTCACAGAAGCACTTACTGGAAAACGTGCTTTCAAATTTATCACGAAGTGGTCTGTAATATAGAAATTATTACTCCTGTATTAGTGTTCAGTGATCTTAGACACATGAACACATTTTTGCATATAACATCATAAATTATACCAAATTTAGTTTAAATTTTGTCCAAATTGTTACATAGCTTGGTTGAAACGAAAGTTGCAAAAGTCACGGGGATTATTATTTGAATGATCTCTCTCAGTGTGGTATTGTGTCTTATATATATATAAAAAAAATCATATTTCCATATTTAATAGCCTGTTTGTATGTAAAATGTATTAATCTGGTAAATATGAGTTATAGCCTTTTTAATTTGTCTTAAAATTCCATCGGCAGACATCGTGTTACTCAAGTGTAAATGTACTTTCACATATTCCTATATTTATTTGACATTTTATGTCAAAGATATATCTCATTATTTTTGTTTGTTTAAAAAGCCTACATTCAGCCCAATATGAAATATAACCCATTTGGGATTCATTCAAAGCTGTTATTCGGAATAACCACACAACTTTATGCGGTCAGTGACTGTATTTCACAAATATGTATACATACCAGTCATAACTTTGACCTCACAAAAAGCATTGTTAGACAGAATACGTTTGACATCGTCCGCCTCATGACCAAAATTCACGAGTTGAAAACAAAATATTTAGTTTTAAGAGTTGTAATATAAAGATTATTACCATTCTTTTTTCTCGTATATACTCGCCACAAACCTCGCATTTTTACCTGTTTCTAAGCCTAGTACAAATACTTTTATGTTCCGAGAGAACGTAATTGATATTCCGTATATGCATTCATAAACATTAAATTTATTTGTTTTTCTGGGGTTATTTCTGAATTGAATTAAAACTTAAAATAGAACAATGGAAATGTTTCGAAACGTAAAAAGTGAATTTAAAATTTAGGATTTTCAAATTCAATACACTTTAAAAAAAAGTTTTATCAAACATCTGGGATGCAGTACTTTGTTCGTAACCTTTTTTATACGAGGGCAATCCGGCAAGGGTTATATATCGTGAAGAGTAGTCGGTATAAGTCATGTCACATAAATGAGTACCTTATTAAAAGGGCACGCATTCCAATGAACAAAGGACCACAGATTTGAGTGTCATGACGTCACCGAACATAGATTTAAGGGTTTACAAAGAGTTGACTTTTACCTATATATCGTTTTTTGATTCCATTTTATTATTTTGAAATTAACATTTTTTTGGAATCCAAAGCCCTTTGAAAGAGATATGTTATTCGGTCTTCTAAAATTTACCAAAATAAAACTGATTAAAATTCAATTTCACAACATATGAGATTAAATGAATCAAAGTCTACTTTTGAATTCTACTCCAACAAAACACTGCTAGCTCTGTACAATCTAGAAAAGTAATTGTATAGTAATGATATACAATAATGTAGATCAAGATTAAAAAGCCGCTCATGGGAATGCTAATTTGCAAGCGAACGCGTACTCAAGAGACGTGGCATTTTCTACAATTACGATTTTTTTCAGAGAATTCACTTGCTTTTATTTGATTATCTGCTATTACTTTTATATCGACGTCATTAATCAAGTATTTACGGAAATTAATTATATTTACTTTCAGATACCATTCGAATGATAAAGTGTAAATCAAAGGTGTATAATTCTTGTCTACCGGATACATCTGGAGGTTGATGTTGGTACAGTAAATGCGACCTTTACTGCATTTGATCCTTGAAAGGTAAATATATCTGGTCTTTGGCTTGCAGATCCTATATAGTCTGTATTATTTCGAAATACTAACAGAAATAGTTTAGGGTATTAGGTATTATATTTTGGAGCTTAAGTATATCATATTATTACTTGAAAGCAGCTGTGTACTGCATAAGTGAACTGTGTACTTTTTATTATGGCATCGGAACTTTGTAACGAATTAACATGTCATTAACAAATAAGAGTTAATATAAAAATAAGGAGATGTGGTATGATTGCCAATGAGACAACTATCTACCAAAGTTCAAATAAAGTGAATGTAAACAATTATAGGCAACCGTAAGGTCTTCAACAATGAGAAAAAACCATACCATAAAGTCAACTATAAAAGGCCCCGACATGAAAAATATGAAACAATTCAATGGAGAAAACTAACGGCCTAATTTATAACAAAACAATATACGAAAAAAACAAGTTTGACAGACATGAACCAACGACATCCACAGAACTACAGGCTCCTGACTTGGGACATGCACATAAAGACTGTGGCGGGGTTAAAGATGTTTGTGAGCGCTCAAGGCCTCCCCTAACCTTGGATAATGGTGTTACAGCACAACATGAGAACAAACTATAACAATCTTATGAAAAGGGCTTAACTCATCAGATCGATACAAAGAAGAAAAACATCTAACAAAAACACAGACCGGATTTTTTAATCTTTACTTAAGTTTACTCTAATCAAGAATATGTGTCCATAAGACAACATGCCAGTGAATCGCGAAATCTGGTTCAAAAATCTAAAACTCTCCTTATTTTTATATATGGCGTTAAATTATGATATGTTGTGTGGTGTATGTATTATTCGTTTTGTCGACCTCCGTACAAGCACAGTTGAATACGTAGTTGAACCGTGTCTATCTTTCTTATGTCAGATGCACATTTTGTTCTTTGTCATAAGTATCAAAACTTTTAATTGTTGATTGAATGACCAATACTACAACACTACAAAATGTAAAGTCCTTTGAAAGACGTCAGTTGTACAATATTTCGTCTTGATACTTGCAAACCATATTCTGACGTCAGTTCAAGATTATACAAAAAGACTCTGAAGCAACGATAGAAAATCATGTCAAAACCATTAACACATTCAAGCCAAAGGGACTTCAATCTAATAGCATATACCCTTACGTAATTGGAACCTAGACAAAAATTTGTTGCCCTTTGCAAATGCAATTCTCAAACGTTAAGCACATTTTCCGTAAGAACGCTTTTGATTGCAAGTAAACAAATTGGTTGGTAGCAAATGAAACCAACTTGTACTAAAATCCGAGTAATCAAATAAAAATTATCATTGTTCTTAAAATATAGCAAAAAATGCGTGAAAACATATTCAGTAAGCTCTTGGGAGTTTTGGGTAAACTGCTTTAAATTGTTGCTGTCCCTTAATACGATTCCGTATGATAGTTCTAGGTAATAAAAAAAATACTAACAAAATCAAAAGATATACAGCAAATAATAACACTCATGAAATTAAAACTCTTTGCAAATTCAAACACGTAAACATTCAATGCGAATAAATCGGAAAAACCAAACATATATTTGCAAAAATAGAGACGACCAAATCTAAAAATTGTTAAAAAAACAGATAAACTTTTTACAAATAATCAAATGAAAGCTCGTATTTAAATGAGTGAATATACTGTTTAAGACCTGTTAAAGTGTTTGACATCTTCCCAGTTTGGAAAATATCATCATTTACAATATCATATGTCTTCAAGCAGCACAAATACTTGTTTTAAAATCAAATATAGTTGGTCGACTAGATAAAAAGATATTTGCATAACAATTTTATGTTGACAGCCACCAAAACGAATACAACACAGTTTCATTATACGGACCGCAAACAAAAATAATTTTAGACTTGATTTTAAAAATGTATCAATATGTAATAATACGAGGCAGCCAAACGCAATACATTGATACGATTAGCATGAACTGATAGTCGCATCTCAGTATTCCAAAACCCTGTCCACCGTCTTGGAGTAATTATAGTCACAACATCATACCATCAAGGATAACACATGAATGCTTGTGACGAAATAATATTCATTTCTTGCATGTTTTGTTATGCAATGAACTAAAGCCTACTAATTATGGATCTGCGGATGTGTTATTGAATATCTATGTTGTGATGTTACACTATTGTTTCAGGTAGGGTGAAGGTTGGCGCCTATTAAAACGTTTAAACCCGCTGCATTTGTTTGCACCTGTCCTAAGTCAGGAACCTGATGTTCAGTGGTTGTCGTTTGTTGATGTGATTCATAAGTGTTTCCCGTTTCTCGTTTTTTATATAGATTAGACTGTTGGTTTTCCTGTTTGAATGGTTTTACACTAGTCATTTTTGGAGCCCTTTATAGCTTGCTGTTCATTGTGAGGCAAGGCTCCGTGTTGAAGGCCGTACTTTGACTTATACTGGTTTACTTTTACAAATTGTGACTTGGATGGAGAGTTGTCTCATTGGCACTCATACCACATCTTCTTATATCTATGTACTATTAGTTAATTATGTAACAAAGCTAACCTGCTACTTGTTCTTCTGTTAATGCTATCACCTGGTCTGCGTTCTGAAAAGATATATATAATTATTTACATAGAAGTGTTGTCATTTATCAGCAAAATGTTCAGATTTTGGCAATTAATCCAGAAAAAGACGAGATAGTACAGCGATTCATATTACCATAGAAAAAAGTGATAAGGTATCAATTTGATGACAGAAAAATCAATACAATTAAGGTTTCATTCCAAATCCATAACTACAAAACATCTTCTGAAAGTGTTACTGTATCTGGAAAATTTGACATAATGACCCTGATGAATTTCCTGTTTTATCAAAACTAAATGCTCTTTTCAGAACAAGAGAAAAGATAAAATATCTATTTATCACTTCTATTGTAAATCAGATGTAATCGTCTAACATCTTCGGGGCCTACGACCCACAGGAGCAGCGTACATCTAATACTTACAACATGGCTAGTGTAAGAAGATGTAAGATATCTGATTGGAATTGTCGAATACTTGTAAATGCATATAAGAGTCATACAATATGATTTTCATGCACAATTTAGACGAAATATATATATAATACATTTTTCCAAGAATTATCCTTATCCTGGATATCTATCTAAGCTGGTCCTATCTTCATATTTTTTAGTGGGTATAACAGATATTTGGGAGACATTGTTTCAGATCTCACCATTGAATTTTTTATTACAGTGATAGTTCAATTAAAAATTCAAATAATAATTATTCCATCTAATTCTCGATTTCAATTAATGGGGCAATGTTTCTTATCACTGAAGAACTGCAGATATACATTTTTGCTGGATAAAATAGAAATGCTCAGGTTAACAGTTCTTCCTTGGATATATTCTTGGGTTGCTTATAAGTGTAATTCTGGGATAATAGTATGACACACGCCATCTTCGTTGACATGACCGATAAACATTCAATGTAAAATTTAAAGTACAGATACTCATGCCTGTCTGACTGTTCTATTTTTGAAATTAGGACGATAGCTTCAATCGTAAAAACCGAGAATGCTTTCGAAATCCATTAGGTCATGATAATTACATTCCATAGAAATATGATTTCAAACGACAATTACAAAACTCTTTGTGCTTTCGTTTAATATCAACTATCGTAATATCATGTAAAAGTAAATTTGAAACCAATATGTAATGGGTTATAATGACTTCTGATGACATATTTGTTATAACCATATCTCTTTGTAAAGTCGACAATAAAAAGTTCATTCTGCAACAGAATTAAGATAACAAATCATCAAGAACATTTTTCTAAATATTACTAATATAATAACTCAAAAATCGTCTTAAAGGAACGAGGTGACTGCAGTGTAAGTATCACGATCCTTTACATCAGACAAAACAGCTGATCTGCAAGATATTTTTTCATCTAAATGAAACCATATACAAGTATCACTGTATAACAACTCTAGATGTAGCCGACGAGAAAAGGCACGACTCCATTAACTATATATTTTACACATCCTAGTTGGTCGAGTGGTCTAGTGCACTTGACACAGTGCAGGAGGAGTTTCCAGGATTTAAGAGCAACATATATTCAAATACCACTAAGGAAAGAACAAAATCTGCTTACACAAATAATTACCTGTTCATTTTGTTCATATCATATACTCGTTTGATATTTAGCAATTTCATTAATTATATGATAAAATTGAGAATGGAAATGGGGAATGTGTCAAAGAGACAACAACCCGACCAAAGAGCAGGAAACAGCCCAAGGCCACCAATGGGTCTTCAACACAGCGAGAAATCCAGCATCCGGAGGCGGGTTTCAGCTGGCCCCTAAACAAAAATGTGTACTAGTTCAATGAAAATGGACGTAACACTAAACTCCGAAACATATACTAGAACTTAAATTAAAAAAACATACAAGACTAGCGAAGGCCAGAGGCTCCTGACTTGGGACAGGCGAGGCGCAAAAATGCGGCAGGGTTAAACATGTTTTGTGAGCTCTCAACCCTCCCCCTATACCTCTAGCTAATGTAGAATAAACAAACACACAGCAATACGCACAGTAAAACTCAGTTTAAAAGAAGTCCGAGTCCGATGTCAGAATAGGTAACAGAAGAAACTAAGCAAAATGACAATGATACATAAATTAACAAAGGACTACTAGCAGTTACTGACATGCCAGCTCCAGACCTCAAACTGATTGAAAGATTATATCTTCATCATATGAAAATCAAGGACAATCCCTCCCGTTAGGGGTTTAGTATCATACCATCATAAAATATATGAGAAGAACATGACAACAACTGGTTTTAGAATGAATGTGTTTATTTCCGATGCAAAGACCCTATGAGTGAATCAATATTAATTCCAAAAATGCCATCTTTAATGACCTGACAACAGTATCGTAACTGTATCCCTTCTGAATAAGTCTGTTTAAAGGTTTGGTTGGCTTTTAAGGTGAATGACGACATGTTTGTGCTTTGTATAGAATATTACCATAAAAGATTGGAAGCGAAATACCTGAACGTATATTATGTCTGCATGTTGATTTATATTTACGAATGATGTCCTTGTACCGATGATTAAATTTATTAAAGATATTGATATCAATTTCCAGGAAAGGGCAGTGTTCATTGTCAGTATTAGCTATATTTAAAGTCAGTTCAGCAGGATAAATCTCTTAAATGTACATACTGAAGTCGTCTTTATATCATCCAAATGTCTAAAAGTGTTATTAAATTTTTGTATCAGATGTTGTTGTTTTGATGGGTATTTGCTGATTTTAGTCATAAATTGTAACTCACAACAATACAGAAACAGGTCCGCAATAAATGGTGCACAGTTAGTCCCCACTGGAATTCCGATAACTTTACGATAGACGGAATCTCCATAGCGAACAAAATGTTTTCTAGTAAAAATTCAAGTGCAGTCATCGTATCAAAGTTGGTCCAATTGACATAGTTCTTTTGTTTGTTGTTACTAAAAAAATACCTAAAAGAGTTTGAACATATACATTCGCAATCTGACTTTTTAATTGCCCATTTAATTAGATGTGTGAATTTTTCTTAATGAGATTATGAGGCAAAGTGGTATATAGGGTAGAAAATCAAAACTTTGAACAGATTCGAAATCACGAATATAAGCATGCAATTTATCAAGTACTTCCAACGAATTTTTGACACTCCAAAAGTAATTAAAGTCACTATTTTCAAAGGCCTTATTTGAACAATTTATTACCAGGTTTTTTATTGTACCAAGTGTACTAGTAAGTAGAATCGACAGTTTAGTAGTGGAACAATGGCTTGAAGAGTTATATATAGATAATTAAGTCGGCGAAAGTTCTCAATCTGCTATATATTTCTGTATTCGGTGTAAACCAAAGTAAAGGTTTCTCCTAGTCGTCGCCCATGCGTGCCTTTTAACATAATATACATTAATTAATAACTGCAATGTGGAGAATGGAATTTGTCAAAGACATAGACATATTACAAAAGGTCTAGAAAATTATTCACAAGCATGATGCAATATCAACGCACGATAACAATTTTATTGCGCATAACGCGTGTTTCTTCATTAATACTCGAAAATAACAGTTTTGGATTGATTGATTAATTGATTTTTGATTGGTGTTTAATGTCACTTTCAGCACTATTGTGCTATTTCGTGGTGGTCAGTTTGTGTTGGTGGAGGAAACCTGAGTGCCCGGAGAGAACCACCGACCTTCTGTCTGAAAATAAAAATATTGGTAGCCAAACATTTAAAGAATAAACGTAAAAGGTCAAAAACCAACAGCTGAAACTATCTTAGGTCAACTTTGTCTGGAGTTTTGGAACAATTAACCTATTTATGAACTGCAAAAAATAAAAAAAAAATGTATCATTAAACAATTGCTCAAAGCGACAACTAAGCAAAAAGGGAACTGGTCTTGACTTCTAAAACTAAGCTGTAAAGTTCTAGAGTCCATCTGATTTTTTCGTTAATATTTCGTTAATATTATAGGTTGCAAAAAAGATAATAAATGAGAAACATGTACAAGTGTTGATTAATTACCATGTTTCAAACATAAATGGTAAAAAAATATTTTAACAAATGGGACGTAATGGCGGACGCAATAGTAATTGCATGTAGAAAGGGAATTTTAACTGGTGTACTGTTAGTCCCCGAAGGTATCATCAGCTCGATAGCCAGTACTTCGTTACTGACATGGAAATACGAATATTGTTTTTGTCGAGCCTGCGACTTTTGTCGCAGAAAGCTCGACATAGGGATAGTGATCCGGCGGCGGCGGCGGCGGCGGCGGCGTTAGCTAACTTTTTAAAAGCTTTATATTTAAGAAGGTGGAAGACCTGTATGCTTCATACTTTGTATATGGATGCCTCATGTTACGAAGTTTCCGTCAGTCACATGTCCAATGTCCTTGACCTCATTTTCATGGTTCAGTGACTACTTGAAAAAAAGTTCAGATTTTTTGTAATGTTAAATTCTCTCTTATTATAAGTAATAGGATAACTATATTTGGTGTGTGCGTACCTTGCAAGGTCCTCATGCCTGTCAAGACAGTTTTCACTTGACCTCGACCTCATTTCATGGATCAGTGAACAAGGTTAAGTTTTGGTGGTCAAGTCCATATCTCAGATACTATAAGCAATAGGTCTAGTATATTCGGTGTATGGAAGGACTGTAAGGTGTACATGTCCAACTGGCAGGTGTCATCTGACCTTGACCTCATTTTCATGGTTCAGTGGTTATAGTCAAGTTTTTGTGGTTTGGTCTGTTTTTCTTATACTGTATGCAATAGGTCTACTATATTTGGTGCATGGAATGATTGTAAGGTGTACATGTCTAGCTGGCAGGTGTCATCTGACCTTGACCTCATTTTCATGGTTCAGTGGTTATAGTTAAGTTTTTGTGTTTTGGTCTGTTTTTCTTATACTTTATGCAATAGGTCTACTATATTTGGTGTATGGAATGATTGTAAGGTGTACATGTCCAACTGGCAGGTGTCATCTGACTTTGACCTCATTTTCATGGTTCAGTGGTCAAAGTTAAGTTTTTGAGTTTTGGTCTTTTTTCTTATACTATATGCAATAAGTCAACTATATTTGGTGTATGGAAATATTCTACGATGTACATGTCAGTCTCGCAGGTTTTATTTGACCTCGGCCTCATTTTCACGGTTCATTGCTCAGTGTTAAGTTTATGTGTTTCAGTCTGTTTTTCTTTAACTATAAGCAATAGGTCAGCTATATTTGTTGTATGGAAGGATTGTAAGCTGTTCATGTCTGCCTGGCATGGTTCATCTAACCTTGACCTCATTTTCACGATTCATTGGTCAATGTTTAGTTTTCTTGGTTAAGTCTGTTTCTTAGAAACTATAAGCAATAGGTCAACTATATTTAGTGTATTGAATGATTGTAAGGTGTACATGTATTAATCGTTTGGTTTATATGACCTTGACTTTATTTTCTTGGATCATGTTAAGTTTATGTAATAGTTGTAGTAAAGCTTTCATTTAGGACTATCAACATAATATCAATGGTTAGTAAAGAAGGCGAGACATTTCAGCGTGTGCACTCTTGTGTTTATATTTGCTGTTATAAAATTTGTGTAATACTTTTGAATTAAGGATGTACTTAGGTCAGGTTTAGGAATTTTTGTCAGATGTTCGGACTCCTTGGTTTTTTCGTACGATACAGGGTAAAATATTTTGCCCCATAACACCCATTTTTCTTTTCATATAAGACTTCAATAGCTCATAAAAGGTCATTTACCAAAAGTTAAGCAGATTCTAGATTTCGTTTCTTTCGAATTGAAACCCAAATAATACCAATGCAAATATAAGGTAAAAGTCCGAGTCAGCCTTTTCCCGCCATATTCTAAATATTATATATCTCGAAAAGGAGCTCCATAACCTATCAATATTCTTAGCTTATTTTGTTCCTTAACTAATACTCTTCTGACTTATAGTATCAATTTTGAATTCTAGATTTTTTAAATTTCACCTAAGTACATCCTTAAGGAATGTATTTCCCTCATGCAGAGCTCTTATTCCTTGTTCGGGTTTTTCATTCTTTTTTGGTTTTTTGTTTAGCTTGTCAACGTTTGTATTATATTTTGGACATTCAAATATTTTGGAATCGGACATCACTGAAGATACATTAATTGTCGAATTGCGCATCTGGTAAAGTCAAATTGGTACCGTTAATGTTTTAACTGTAGATTGGATAGCATACAAGTATTTCGGTAAATTTTCCCATAAAAATTGTCCTCTACATTTGCTGTTGGACAATTGAAGTCGAGAAGAAGAGGAATTTCCTACAGCTTACCAGAAAATGTGACAAAACATAAAAAAAAATATCTTTTAGTCCAACAGGACATCAGCTTTTATATATATAAAAAAGATTAATATCCACGATCTTCTACAAATTTTACTTGGGATGTCAATTTACTCATTTTAATCCTACACGTGCATTTGCGCTCACGGGTCATGCTCTGAGAGAACTATAGTGCGTGCGTAAAGATCAGTCCCGCAGAGACCATGTAAACGTTTTGAACTAAATTGTTTTTATTTTTAGACAAATAAGAATACTTATGAAATATGTATTTAGAAATGAATTCTATAGGTTTAAAACAGAAACAGGTATGGCTTAAATTTTTGTATAAAGCATGTCCAGTTTTCCAAATGAATTTGTAAAAAAGTCAACAAACTCGCGAACCAAGCACACGGAAAAAGAGACATTACATTTAATGGTGTTAAAGTATAAAAAAAAGTTTAAAACATTCACAACAATTTACAAAGCCAAAATGATGATTTAGCCAAATGGTAAAATCTCTTTCAATATTTGCGTGTCATTTATTCTACATAACATCGATTATAAAGATTCATATACAAGACAGTGAAGTAGCACTTCATATCTTTTGTCTTAAAGTACTTATACAAAAGAACTAGGATAAGATGTTGTATGTCTACGGTAATATAGATAGTCTCAAACGTCCATAATCATTTATGTTATACTTAGATAAAACTTACAAATTTAAAAAACAAAAATATATCACAGCATGCTAATCCGTGCAAATATAACAAACTAACTTACAATTTTAAGGTAGACTATATCGTCCATATGAGCTTTGTTTTTCTGTTTAGCTTTCTTCATGGCTGTATCGTAGATGAAGTTCTATACTAATACTATAGTGTTTATGACAATCTTGATAAAAAGGAATGTGTGTCTGTCGTAGAAGATAATGATTCATGTGAGTCTGTTTTTAGGAGCCAAAGATGAACTAGGAAGTAAATTGCACTAGACATGATTAAGGTGTGATTCTTATCGATAAGTATTACATTAAACACGAATACTGGCACTCAGTACAAAACATGAGAATCTACCTTACATACTCATCAAAGTACTGACAAAACATGCAAGTCTACGTGAGACTACTTAAAATATGAATAAAAGAAGGTGTGGACAGTACGTCGATGAGACACGAACAAAACAACACAATAAAAAAGAAATAAAGAAAAGTACAAGAATATTATTAATCATTCTGAACTCGTTTGAGTGTGGAAAAGTCGCAATCTAACCGCTAGAACGGCGGGAGTTTCAGTTTAAACAATAATATCTAATTTGTTTGTTTGTTATTTTCTAATAATTCAACAATCATTTCTTCTGACTGAAATAGGTCTTTTCCAATATTTGGTCCTAGAAATATTGACAAGAACGAAATTTTCTAAATGCAAAAATCAAATTATATTTCGACATACCATTTTAGTTAAAAGGAAATGCTGTGTACGATAACTAAACAGAAGACACGCACATGCTTACATGCTAATACTTGAAACATATATCACATTACAAAAGACATTTGCAACTATTTCAAGTATATATATATCGTATAAAAACTTTGTAATTGAATATAACTATATACCTGACAACCATTTCAGAAGCGGATCCAGAAATTTTCATAAAGGGGGGGGGGGGGGGGGCACTGACTGCCATAAGAGGGGTCCCGCTTAGTCATTTTTTCCACAAAAGGGGGGCCCGGGCACCCTGCCATCCCCACAAATCCGCCTCTGCATTTTCTCTCTTAAACAATTTATATAGTAAATATTATAATTCCCGAGTCATGAGTCTACACAAAAACTGCAAATGAATTCACCAAACACTTAAAAACACTAAAACACTAAACTCTCAATAGACAATTTTTTGTTTAGCGCGAAAATAAGCAATGCGTACAGTGCAACGTAATCTTACGTAATACAACAGTTCAATCATGTAACATATGCACTTTTACTTAATTTCTCTATAATTTATTATTCATTTGCAAATCTAGTTATGAATAATTTTTTGCTGTCTTTGCAAACAATTAAAGTAAATCATTTTATGTATTAAAACTTCCGTTTTGTTTCTTTGAATTTCAAAACTTTTTTACATCAAAAATAACATTTTTGAAGTACATAAATATTTCTCAAAGTTTAAAAACTAAATTTATAAATCAAATTAAATTTGATTTTCAGAACATTGCTGACACGTGTGATAAACAAAGTACAATGTTTTTTAAGCCTGTGGAAGATAGAGATGAAACGAAAACGATATATTCGCTATAAGATGATCTTATCATTGTCCTTCTTTACCAACATTTATAGGAAATAATTATATTGATCGTGTTGCTCAATCTTTTGGGGTTTTTTTTTCGTGAAGTGTTTTGTAAACAGCTGTTTGTCTTTTGACTTCTTTTCTTTTGTCCATTATGTTGTCTGTCTTTTTACAGCTCATGGTTTTAGATTGCCGTCCACCATGGTATCTTCTTAAAAAAATACTTGATACAACTGGTGGTCATAGTCTCGAAAATGTACAGACATATTCAAATGTTAGTGTTAGTAAAACACCTATGCATTATTAAGGTTGTCAAATTATTTTCAAATATTGTCCTTGCAGTAAATTCAAACGTGTTGCAACATTCAGCTCTTAGTTAATCTATCCATGTTTTTATTTCAATTTCGACAATTAATAATTTTTTGTTTAGCACGGAAAATATCGGCCAACTCAACGTTTATGTAATCTGTTACTTTAAGGAAAATTGATCTGTGATTATGCTTATAAAGTGTAAAAGAGGGACGAAAGATACCAGAGGGACAGTCAAACTCATAGATCGAAAACAAACTGACAACGCCATGGCAAAAAATAAAAAGACAAACAGACAAATAATAGTACAGATGACACAACATAGAAAACTAAAGACTAAGCAACACGAACCCCACCAAAAACTGGGGGTGATCTCAGGTGCTCCGGAAGGGTAAGCAGATCCTGCTTCACATGTGGCACCCGTCGTGTTGCTTATGTTATTTCAAATCCGGTAAATAGTCTAATTCGGTAAGTCACATTCGTGAAAAGGGAAGGGTATTGTAGTTACGACATAAGGAACATATCCGATATCATCTGTGAAACGGTTATTCCATAACGTCAACCAACTCGTGATGGCGTCCGTAAAATTGACGAAGGGATGATTTCAACTTCACTCCTTGGAACTCTTGGCTTAATAGCTTCCTTGTGAGCAGCAATCCTCTATCAAGGAAATCATGATAGGAAACACAAGCCCGGGAATATCGTATCAATTGGGAGATATATACTCCGTATGCAGGCGCTGCTGGAATGTTGCTACATAGAAATGGAAAGTTCACAATTGGGAAGCTGAAATCATCTCTTTTGTCGTAAAGTTTTGTTTTCAACCGACATTCATTGTCAATTTCTAGATGTAAGTCAAGATATGAGGCAGACTTAACTGTATCTGTATTATCCTTTATCTCTAGTTCGATGGGATAGATTCGTTCAACATAGTCACCAAATTTTGTATTATTTAGTGAGAGAACATCATCTATATAGCGGAACGTAGAGTAAAAGGATATTGCTAACTTCTTATCTTTCTTCCTAAGAAGTTCCCGTATGAAGTCAGCCTCATAAAGGTACCAAGGGGACATTCAAACTCATAAGTAGAAAATAAACTGACAACGCCATGGCTATATGCCTACGAAATGCAACATTGCAATCATGTAACATTTGCACTTACCTAAATTCTCTATAATTTATAATTCGTTCCCAAATCAAATTATGGACAATTTTTTGCTGTTTTTGCAAGCAAATTAAAGTAAAATCATTTTATGGATTAAAACTTCCGTTTGTTTTCTTTGAATTTCAAAACTTTTCAAGTACATGAATATTTCTCAAAGTTGAATGACATGAAATCAATAATTAATCTAAATTTGATTTTCAGAAAGTGCTGACACATGTGATAAACGATGTCCAATGCCTTCTAATAAAATTGAGAATGGAAATGGGGAATGTGTCAAAGAGACAACAACCCGACCATAGAGCAGACAACAGCCGAAGGCCACCAATGGGTCTTCAATGCAGCGAGAAACTCCCGCACC